AACTATTGACATGTCATAAATTGCGATGAGTTCTTGTTCTTGATACCATACATGCAAATAATATGTTCTTTGCAGCTTGTAGAATGGATTACTACTAATGGTGCTGTATCCCCAGAGACTGCTCTGACAGCTTCTGAGGAATGTGACAAAATGCTGAGAATGGGTGATCGACCTGGCCGTCCTGGTTATGATAGGAAGAAGTTGCTCCTTTATGCCATGATCTGTGGTTGTCGACGTCAAATCGACAGATTGCTTAAAGATCTGCCAACACTTTTCAATACTATAGAGGATTTCTTGTGGTTCAAATTGTCAGCTCTGCGGGAGTACACCAGTGCATCTTCTTCTAATGTTTCAAATGAAGGCTTGGTGCCTTATACTCTGGAGGATCTGCAAAGTTACTTAAACAAATTTGAACCATCATATTATACAAAGAATGGAAAAGACCCCTTGGTCTATCCATATGTTCTGCTGTTAAGCATCCAATTGCTTCCAGCAATTCTTTATTTGTCTAAAGAAGTTGGAGAGGAAGGATACCATGTAGATGCTGTGCATATTTCAATTGCTTTATCTGATCATGGTGTTCTCCCTGATGGTGTTGGGTCAGGCCAGAAGATGGGTATCATGGATGCTTGTGCAGAAGCTGCCAGTATAATACGGCAGTATGGCTCTATTTATTTGCGTAATGGTAACCTTGATTTGGCCTTGGAGTATTATGCACAGTCTGCTGCTGCAATGGGTGGAGGAGAGGTATCATGGATTGGTCGAGGGAATGCTGATCAGCAGCGGCAGCGAAATCTAATGTTGAAGCAACTGCTGACAGAGATATTACTAAGGGATGGTGGCATTCAACTTTTGCTTGGTCCAAGTGGAATGGGGGAAGAAGGAGAATTAAAGAAGTATATGATGGATTGGAGAAGCAGGCAGCAATTCTTACTTGAAGCTGCCCATCAGTGTCATGAGGCAGGCCTCTATGACAAAGTAAGTAAACAAGTAAATGCTCTTTTCTTGTGATAGTAGTAGTAAAAACTCGTCTTGATTGTCACATGTAGGACATATCACACATGCTTCATCAAATCTGATATATGTGCGTGCATTTTAACCGTTGACTATAATTTTATAAACTATTGATGGCAAGCTACATGGTACAGAAGTAGATATTTACCATATGAATTTGAAGATGTCTATGTTTTCTGCACTTTGGTCTTACTCTCTTTGTTGAGTTGTTCTATATCCGTCTAATATCACTTTACGCTCTGCATGAGCTCAGTCAGTGGAAATTCATAAAAGAGTTGGAGCTTTTGCCATGGCACTTCAGACAATAAATAAGTGCCTGTCGGATGCAATATGTGCCATGGCACGCAGTATGTTAGATGGTGAAAGTCGTGCTGCTGCTCTAATTCATTCTGGTAATGAAATTATGGAAACTGCCAGATATTCGGAAGCCAGGTTATTATCCTCTTCTGTTTTTTCACAAGTTGAGCATTAATCCTTTATGCTTTTTAAAGCTGTGTTTTGATCAATTTATTGGAAACGTTCTTACAGTGTTCAAGACAAGGACCTCATATCTGAGCAACAAACTGTACTGAGACAGCTTGAAGCTATTCTCCATATCTATAGGCTTGCTCGAGCTGGACAGACTTTAGATGCTTTGAGGGAAACCATCAAACTCCCATTTCTTCATTTGGATCCTCAGGCTCCAAATGTGACAGTTGATGTGTTCAGAAACTTGTCACCGCATGTTCAAGCTTGTGTGCCAGATCTCTTGAAGGTTGCTCTAAATTGTATGGACAATGTTAGAGATACTGATGGGACCTTGCGTGCAGTCAAGTCAAAGGTATTCAATCTCTTTTGCGCATTTACTTATACAATGAGCATGTAGGCACTGCACTTCATAATGGCAGAGAAAATGTGATGCTAAACTACCATAGATAAGTAAACTATAAATAATTTGAAGAACCTGTTTAGTAACACATCCACATACCTTAACTAGCAGGTTATACCACTCGCAAGCATTCTCTTGTGTGTGCACACAGACAGTTACGTACCTGATGGCTGATTGCAGTTGGGCAGTCTTATGCTGATACATGTCTTTAGCTGTTGTAGTTGTAAAGATTGCTGTCACGGCCGTAAACCTTGCGGCCCAGCCTGTGGGCCCAAGAAGCACTTAAAATATTCTATAGAGAGCTTGCACAAGAAAGTTTTCCAACAATGTCCAATCTTAGTGTAAAATCTGGTCATATCATGACGCACTACGCTGCTAAATGCTAGCTATCTGCCACATATACACATCCTTCTGGAGACTTTCATTGTCAAATGGCAAGCTTGACCACGTCCATTAACCTTGTTTTTAATACATTTTTATTTCAAATAAGTTATCTGGATGACCGCAGAGGAGGGCACCATGCTGTGTTATCACGTTTTAGACATGCATTAATTTAATTTCTTTTAGTTAGCATTATTCTGATATTATCTCGCTATAATATAAAATGCAACCCCCTGCATTTTTTTCATGCAATATTTTTCATGATGGGCAGATCGCAAACCTCGTGGCAAGCAACATGAGCAGGAACTGGCCACAGGATTTGTATCAGAAGGTGGCGCAGTGCATATGATGGGGATCTGTCCGGCCATATACCTGACACTATCAAAAGCTTCCGAAAGCACGCGGAAATGCTTTTCTGTGTTTGTGCTGGTGATGTGCTTATGGTCCGAACCGGAATGTTTCAGACTGGTGGATGCAAATCCTTTTGATCACTCAGCTATATCAGCCAAAAGAGAACATATATGCCATGCCCGGGGGTCATCTGATGTGTAGTGTGTGAAATGTGAAACTTAATGGCACCAATCAGAATCTGTATTATTAATCCATGGTTGTAAAGCAGTTTCTGAATATCCAAATGCACTGTTGCTTAGTTCGAGGAGATTATCTGCGGCTCTATTGTACTGTCATTCTGTTGGCTTATCCCACTTAATCCCGCGTCCTATCTCGGATCTAACAGCGTCATTTTCGAATGTTCTATTTTTGCACGTACTACTTTCTCAGGATCGACAAGCCTAAGCATGATGCAACATGGAATTACTCCATACAGTATTGAAAGAAGATGCTGGAAGATCATCTTGGAGTATTATCGCTTATACACATGATTCGCTAACTGGAGATTGGGCGGAACATCACGGCAGTGAGTGATTGAATGCATTATGCTGACTCCTCTCATCCTCGTGAATAATTTACTCCTGCCCCCATCCTCTCTGGCCTCCCAGATGTGACCCCCTGATGAGAAGAAAAAAAGTCCGTTTATAATTTCCAGTAGAAGCAGCAAAAAAAAATCAGGGAAGGTGCCGGTTCGACCAGCCATCGACCTAATTTTGTTTTGATCGATTGATTTATCGACCTAATTTTGTTCGGTCAAATGCTTAAGCAGAGAAGCGCGATGGTTGCTGCAGCCTGCAGGTCGAGTGTCAGGTGAAGAAGCTCCAGGGGAACCGCACAAACACTCTCCTGGAAGCAAATTTTATGGAGATGGCTCGCTAAACGGTAGGACTCCTTTCGAATACATGAAATTTAAAAATTTATAGAAGGAATAAATCAATTTCTGTGGATTTGTTTCTAAAAATTTCACCCATTACAAGAAAGATAAGATAATGTAGCGTGTCTGCAGACCTTTAGAGGTCATCGAGTCCTACCGTTCAGTCATTTCGTTTACAATTGATTATAAGGCCTAACATTTATTATTAAAAAATAATATTTTGGTATAAAACTTCTGTATATATATTTTTAATGATTTAAAAGCTAATGCCATAAAATAAACAACGATGAAAATAAACTGATAAGATCGGTTAGTTTGTCATGGGTTGATGCGTGGATCGTGGGAATGAACTGCCGGAGGAAGCAAGGAATCGTCATCTTGAATACAGTTGGTGCGGAGCGGAGCGGGCAGCATGTCACTTTGATCTACCTGCACGCCACCTCCTCAATCCAACCTTGCTGGTATATACTACAATTCTTGAAAGCTCTGAGAGGAAGAAATGCAAAGGCCATTGCATCTTGATAAGTTTTAAAAAAGTACACTTTCAAAAGATAGCTCCGAATTTCCCAAGCAGAAGATGTTGAAAAAAAAGAAGAGTTGTAAACAAAACAGTGCTGGCATTTAAGGCTCCTCCTAGGCGACCACCAAGAACCTCAAAGAGAGAGAAGTTATTTATTTTTACTCCAAACAGATGCAACATCTGAAGACAACTTTTGGACTGTTTGGAAAAACAATTGCAGCTTCTTTCAGAATCACGAACTCTTCCAAATAACTTACAACATCATCTTTTCGCTTATGCTTATACTTATTAGTCAAAATTAAAATTTTCAACATTAATTTTAAAGCTGATTTTTGGTTTTTTCATCGAAATTTATTTTTCAGTATTTGCTTTTAGATAACTAAGAACACGTATATAAAAGTTTTATTCACAAATTACTTTCCGTTTACAAATATACTGTTTTGCTACTATAGGACCATCAGATTATAGAAAGTGTAGTAGTAGAATTTAAAGATATGAGTTAAAAGCCATAAGCTAAAAAACTCTTAACGTTTTTAGATTCTCATAAATTTGGTTACTAAACATCTCAATCAGGACTTTCCTTTTTACAGTAGAGAATCCGTGTGTCTGACAGGACAGTGGCGACCCAATCCCCAATCTCCATTTTCTTGAGATTTGGATCAGCTGCAGTAGTAGTACTGACTGCAACTTATGCAGTCATAGTTGCTACCGTTTGATCTGAATCGGATGGCACAGGTTAGTCAGAGCACTATAGCAAAAGTACCGTAGAATAAAATATTAGTTTTATGATTCTATTTTGATCACTGTAGCGATAAATCTGGACCATTCATCATCAAAATGAATGGTTGAAGATACGTGCAGTCCTAAGTTACAGTGGAAGTTACCACTGCAGCTGATCTCAATCCATTTTCTTGCCATTCTCGGCAGCCCTTCCTTCCAAGCCCCCACCACACACACACACACTCGCGAGCACAGCTCGCCTCCTCACTAGTATAAAATAGTAGTCGTCCCCTTCTTGGCGCGCCGCCGCAGCAACAGCGGCGCGCGAGGCTGCTCGGATCTCGCCGCGGCCATCGAACCGATGGAGCTCGACGACGCGTCTCGCCACGGATTCGGCAGGATGGGATTTGGGTAAATTCCTCTGCTCTGCACTTCTCCTCCTCCTCCTTGCCGCTGCTGTTCTTGGACAAGAAAAGCTTTCGTGTTCTTTCTTCGTTTTGTTTTTGAGCTCATCGAGTCGTTGGCGCGCGCGCAGATGCAAGCACTACAGGAGGAGGTGCAGGATCCGGGCGCCGTGCTGCAACGACGTCTTCCACTGCCGCCATTGCCACAACGAGTCCACGGTTTCGTCTCCCCCGCGTGCTTGCTTGCATTGCATCACCAATCCTGAATTTTATTTTTATTTTTTCTGCTCCTGCCTTTCTGATGTGCCGCTCCCTGTTCTTGGATCAGAAAGACGGCCACGAGCTCGATCGGCACGCGGTTGAATCGGTGGGTGCTCCTATATCACATCAATTCGATCCTGTTTCTTGATCTGAAAAAAACTGAAAAAACTTATCTTGGGGTATCTGCTCTTCAGGTTATCTGTCTCGTCTGTGACACCGAACAGCCGGTTAGTGTTGAATCCACTGGGCTTTCCTTTCCGTTTCTTGGATCAATTTTTGTTTCTGACCGGTGATTTTTTTTTTGAGCAGGTTGCGCAAGTGTGCTACAACTGCGGCGTTTGCATGGGCGAGTACTTCTGCAGCGCGTGCAAATTCTTCGACGACGACGTGAGATGCCGATGCTGCTTGCTTTGCTTCTGCTGGATCTGGTGATTTTCGATTTGGTTGTTGATGAGATGCACGTTCGTGTTCTGCAGGTTGACAGGGAACACTTCCACTGCCAAGATTGCGGCATCTGCAGGTATGTTTTTACCACACCATCTAAAAAAATCACTTAAAAAGTGGGAATGCATTTCAAATTTTCTGAGCTGACTGAATTTGGGATGCATTGCAAATTTGCAATAGAGTTGGAGGGAAGGATAACTTCTTCCACTGCGAAAAATGTGGTGAGTCAGTGTGATCCTACATCTCTCGATACTCGGTACTGAAATCCCAAGCTATTACTATTTACTGGTGAGATGGTTGAATCTGAATCTCTCAATTCCACTTTTAAATATCTGTTGAAACACAGGATCATGCTACTCGGTCAGCCTGCGCGACAAGCACTGCTGCATCGAGAACTCCATGAAGAACAACTGCCCCATCTGTTACGAGGTGTGTGTTCTAATGTTCTTCTGCCAGAACAGAACAGTGACGCTACCTTCTGCATACTGTTCATTTAAAAAAAATGCAGTCTCTTATGTACGAAACTGTCGATCGTCATCACAAATGCAGTATCTGTTTGACTCTCTAAGGGAGACGTCCGTGCTCAGATGTGGGCACACGATGCACCTGCAATGCTTCCACGAGATGCTGAAGCACGACAAGTAATCGCCCATGCTGTGTTGATCTGTTTCCATGTGGCTCTTTCTTTCTTTGTTTGTTTCTTTACTTTGTGTGCTAGATTAGTCATCTCTTTCGTGTGATCTTGTTCTTCTTGGATGCCTGATAATTGTAGGTTCTCTTGTCCCATATGCTCGATGCCTATCTTTGACATGGACAAGTTCTTGAGGGCTTTGGACGCTGAGGTATGTATTAAATTTCTTAGTGAGCTTGCTTAACACAATAGCATTATACAACTAGACTTCATCTTTCAATTTATTTAATAGACCTGTTGTAGGTTCAGAAATAGTGAATATAAAATAAACCAAAATACAAATCATATGCAAAGGAACTAAAAAACCGGACCAGATATTGGCTCATCATTTCAATTACATTTTGGAAAGGTTTCAAACTTGCAGAGTTGCAGTAGTCTCACCAATCTAAAGCCTTAGTGATAATTAATTTGTAGGAATACTGCCATAATATGTTCATTTTTTAACCTCTGCAGATTGAAGCAAATATGCTGCACATAGATTACATGGGAAAGGTAAGCTTGCCTCCATCCAAGAACTCTCACCCTGTGCCATTTGACAGTATAAAATACTACATACACTTTGACGCTAATGTTGCTGATTGGTGTTGGTTTGCAGGGATGGATCGTGTGCAACGACTGCAGGGACACGACGCAGGTGTACGCGAGGGTGGCAGGGCACAAGTGCTGCCATTGCCAGTCTCACAACACCTGCAGGGTGGCTGCCCCGGTGCTCCCTGCTTAATTAAATTGAGTAAATTTCATATAAAATTCAGCTGCAGATGCTGTCAGCACCGCAGCATCATATTATTGATTTATACTTAGTATTCAGTAGTATTGGCTGGGTTATTTTAAGTAGCCAATTAAGTGTATTTTCAGTCCAACATGAACTGCATGGGTCACATCTTGTATGCGAATTATACACGTTTTATGTAACAAAGCAAGGTGAATTTGAAAGGCGAAGAAACAGTTAGGGATGTGCCCAATTTTTGTTGGTCTGCAGAGTGCAGATCCAAGCTAAAAACACTAAAGGACACCTGGCATTTCTGTTCTTTTTCTGGGCCTGAAAAAGGGTACGTATTGCCTTTGTGCCTGTTCAGGCCTCATTCGGCCACAGGCGGCCTGTTGACCATACCATCCCACCCCAAGAGGCCAAGGCGATGGATTAGAGAGGTGGGAGTGGGCTAAGCCCATGGATACTTATTAGCCAATTCTACTTTAAATAAATATAGATTAATTTCTATTTCATAGTAAATTCGTAAAACTACGTATAAATCAAACTGTCGTAAAACTATAGATTTAAAGCGGGTATCTCACAGAACTAGAGATTTAGTATTGAGCTTATCATGAAACTATGTAAAGCATAATACCGCAATCTATAGATTTAGTGCTATTTTAGTGCAAAAGTACAACGTTTATAATTCTAACATAATAGTAGTCCTAGGAGCTAAAATCTATATTTAGAATTTCACTACTAAATCTGTAGGTTTGCCATTATCTAAAAAAATATATGTAGGTTTGCGGTAAATTTGGTACTAAACCGATAGCTTTTACGATAGATTGTCTAAATTCGTAGTTTTGCAAATTTGGTCAAAATGTCACAAGTGAGTGTGCCTTGCACACGTCTTAACCAGATTAGAGACATAACATAGCCATAAGTAACGTAAATATGGAAAGAGATTCTCTAACTTATTGCCCTCTGACTTTAAGGGGTTGACATGCGAGCCCCATAGCTCAAGGACCCACATGCTAGTGACCCATGTCAGAGAAGCCCTCTTCCGATAAGTATATACGCTTTATCAAACACACCCTTACGAGTATGTACTATTAATATAATGTTGTGCAACAAGTTAAAAAAAAAGCATGAGTAGCCATGCTCAGTTTACAACCACAATTTATTTTTAGAGGTAAGTGGGTTTACTGCAGCTAGGGGCGGATGTACATGTGAAGTTTGTTCACTTTAACACCACTTTTAACCATAGCAAATTTTGGTGTTCTCAAATTTTAATAGGGTAACAAACTAAACACTACCTTTTACTAACATTATCCTATCAAATCGTGGTAGCTCTGGAACTTTTCTCTCATAGAAATACTACCGAATTTTGGAAAGAAATCAAACTAAATAAATCCAGCGCTATCAAAATTTGACAACGTAAAAACGTATCAAAATTTGGTATTGCTAAAATTAGTAAGATTGAAATTGGCAGCGAAGTGAATAAATCCAAAGTTTAGGTGATGTTCACTTGACATAGGGGAAATTTTGAAATCTCATAAGTATTAGATCAAATTAAACATTATATTATACCTATGATTATTTGTAAGCGTAGACACATCATATATTTCGTTCTAGATTTATCCTTGCATGCCATGTAGATGTTGGTAGGTAGGAGTTGGAAGGAGAAAAGCAAGAGACACAAATGGCCTACAACAAAACGAAGACCGGGTTTAGCTCCCAAATTTTTTTTTCCAAAAACATCATATTGAATCTTTAAACACATGCATGAATCATTAAATATAGATAAAAATAAAAGCTAATTGCATAATTTGCATGGAAATACGAGATGAATCTTTTGAGCCTAATTAATCCATGATTAGCTATAAATGCAACAGTAACCCAATGGCTTAATTAGGCTCAAAAGATTCGCGGTTTTCAGACGAGTTATGAAATTAATTATTTTACTCACGGTTTTCAGACGAGTTATAAAATTAATTATTTTATTCTTGTCAAAAACCCTTTCTGACATCCGCTCAAACATTATTTTCTTTTAGCGAAGCCGAAACGTGGTCGTTGTTGCGCCATAACAGCAGCCTTGTTTAGATTTTAACTTTTTTTTTTTCAAACTTCCAATTTTTCCGTCACATCAAACTTTTCTACCCACAAACTTACAACTTTTTCATCATATTGATCCAATTTGTTCGAACTTTTAATTTTGGCGTGAATCTAAACACAGCCGCGGCAACCGTAGTAGTCTAGTACTAGTACTACTCCGTACTCCGTAGCCTCTTCTCGCCTCATCTCGTGCTGCGCGTCTGACGACCTCGCCCTACCAACCTGCCAATTTCTTCCTTCCTTCCATCCGTCCTGCAACCTCCTCCTCTGCTTCTCGATTTCTCCTCCTCCACTCCATCGTCTCTCTCTCTCTCTCTCTCTCTGCAGCTAACTCCTCCGAATTAGGAGGTTCATCTTGATGTAATTGACTGGATTCAATAAAATTTTTCATTATCTTGAAAAAGAAAGTAGCGGAGGTGCAACGTTGGCATATGGAGAAGCGGAGGCGGCCGGCGGCGGCGGCGATGCTTCTGGTGCTCATCCCTGCTGCATCGCGCCCACCCCATGGGATCGTAGCAGCAACAGGTAAAGCTCATCTCTGCCTCAGCCTTATCACTTGCTGCTAGCGCGGCAGCTGATGGATTGATTATTTGATTTCTTTCTGTTCTTTTTTGTTTTCTTTGATGCAATTTTGTTTTTTTATGCAACTGATTTCTCTTCATCGATTTAATTTCAATTTGAGAAGGGGGGAAAAATGAGGCGAATTTTATATCTCAATGTGCTCATGCAAGGTTTGCTTGTACTGTAGTAGTAGATTTAATCACTAGTAGTGTGGCTGTTTCTGGAAGACAGTGATGTTGACTGTTATTGTTGACTATTGTTTCTGGCTTTCTGCAAGACGATTAATAATGTTGACTATTGTTTACTTCCTCCGTTTGACGATGTAAGTAAATCTAACATTTCTCACATCTGTCTAGATTCATTAGCATCAATATGAATGTAGGAAATGCTAAAATGACTTACATTGTGAAACGGATAGGGTATATGAAATCAATAACTATTGTACCTGGAAGCAAAAAAAAAAAGGATATTTTGCACGCGTGAGTTGAACTTGAACCTTCAAATGTATAGCAAAGTACAGGGCCTTTGTATCTCAATTCTTTCATCTAATGGCATGAAGAAGGAATGGTACCCTAGCAGGAACATTGCTTTCATCACCCAGACAATCTAAGGAATACACAAATGCAACACTAAAGTTTACTTATGTTCTAATTCTTGTCTGATAGCATTTATTCTTGATGAGTATGAATGTATGATGTGTAACTGAGATTTGCACATATCAGCATCCCTGTTCTTTTCGATAAGATATCTATCAGCATGCCTAAAGGCTAGATGTTCCAATCTCCACAGAATCCAGTGTCCAGAATAGTGAGCAGAGCTTTGGTTTCAACCTTACACTTGCCAAGACTATTGTGGAGTATGCCTCAGCTGTAAGTTATCATCACCTTATTCTTTCCAAATTGTGTCATGTGTCATATACAAATACAATACTCAATGCACCACTCCCCCACCCCCCAATTTTTTTTTTGGTGTAATTCAAGAGTAAATTGTATCTTGCAGTGAATAGAGTCAACCCCTTTTTAGTTTATTCTTTTTTTTTCTCGACATGAAGTTACCCTCAATTATTTCCTCTCGTATTTGGCAGTGTGCATCCACCTTAGGATGCAGAGGCCAGGCGTTACCCATTATCTAAAAAAATGATTTCCTCTCGTATATATAGGTCTATATGACAGATCTAACAGAGCTCTATACATGGACATGCTCAAAATGCAATGACTTAATCCAAGTAAGATACCCAACACTTTGGTGCCTAATTAGTTTCATTTTGATCACGATTAAAATTGATTTTGTCATGGGCGCTTGTTTTCCGAAAACAGGGGTTCGAGATGAGACGTCTAATCGTTGATGTCCAGAACTGCTTGCAGGTCTATATCTAAATGCTAATACTGTTTTACAATACAGTTCTCATCAATCCTATTTAAATAAAATGCTACTACATGACATTAAACAATATGACAGGCATTTGTTGGTGTCGATCACAATCTCAACGCTATCATTGTTTCAATCAGGGGAACTCAAGAGAACAGGTTCTGAAATAACTCTACACAATTTTCTTGTTCTTAGTGGCTTCTACGGGAGTTATGATATCCCTCTGTATTCATGCCTAAATTTTCTGCTCAGTGTACAGAATTGGATTAAGGATATGCTATGGAAGCAATCTGATCTGAACTACCCGGACATGCCCGACGCAAAGGTTTTTGCCACTGACCTGTTAATGTAATTATACTTTTTTGCTGAAGAATAGGACATGAGTTTTTTTTTCTTTGGGTCTGATGAGATTTCTACTCTGGTTAAAGGTTCACACTGGATTTTACTCTTCTTACAATAACACACTTTTACGTCCAGCCATCGCAAACGCCGTTCACAAGGCGAGGAAGTTATATGGAGATATTAGCATAATAGTTACAGGGCATTCAATGGGAGGAGCGCTTGCTTCTTTCTGTGCACTTGATCTTGCGGTAAGTGCTACTGAAATTCAACCAAATACTTGCTGAATTTAAGCATCAGTTAAAGGAAATAGGGAGAAATATCACCACAATCACAATGAACAGGCCAAAACAATCCGAACTGAACAAATTCAGAAAGCTTGATTGTAATGTAGTTTCACTAACGTTGCATGTTTGCAAGGGAATTGCTAAAAAACAGTCACAAGTTTTTTTAAGTATGATGTTATAATTAAGAAGATACCTTGTTTCGACAGTAGATATTCTTTCACCGCTGATTCATTAAACTCTGAAATGCTTTCTACATTTGCAGATTACCCATGGAGGCAACAATGTTTACCTGATGACTTTTGGGCAGCCGCGCGTTGGCAACGCTGCATTTGCATCCTACTTTACCAAATATGTGCCCAATACAATTCGAGTGACACATGAGCATGACATTGTGCCGCATTTGCCCCCATATTTTTTCATTTTTCCAGACCAAACATACCATCACTTCCCAACAGAGGTATGCTAGCTCTTGCATAAAAACAGGAAATTTGCTACTCCCTCTGTTTCACAATGTAAGTCATTCTAGCATTTTCCACATCTATCTATCTATTATATACTAAAAGTCCATTAAACTTCCTACAAACGCTCTCAAGTTACCACATGGCGCTCTAATAAATTAGAGAAAATCCTGTAAATTCTAAGAAAAAAGCAAAACATCTACCCCTTGATTTTCACTTAAATTGGTGGGTCCAATATTATACACCGTTAGATAAAATTGATTCTAAAATAAACCAAATACTATGGGTCCCACCTAACTCACGTACGTACATGGGTATGCAGTACGTACGCCTCCTTCCAATTATTTTGGTATGTAGTATGTACGCCTCCCTCCAATTATTTCTTCCTTTTTCTCTCTTCTTTTTTCCATTTATATAATTGATATATATATATTCTAAATAAACATAATTTACAAACAAAGAATATACCATCATATAATTCTTTATAAACACAGTTAACTAAATTAGCTCTACAATCTTTGAAAATAAAATTTACACCATTATATGTTTACCCATTAAATCAATATAATTTCCAATTAAACCGGTGTACTCATTAATTTGTACTATTATTTTCAAATAATACACTATTTTAAAATAAACTTTACACAATTATAATGTGTACTTATCAAATAAATAATTTAAGATCTATATTAACTAATTATACGTGCACTTAAACAGATGGACCCATTATTTAAATCATGGGATCTTTTTTTTTATTAATTTGGACTATTATTCTCAAATAATATACTATTTTAAAATAAATTCTACACCATCATATTGTGTACCCATTAAATTAACAATTTAAAATATATATTAACTAATTTACATTTACACTAGAACCGGTGGACCCATTATTTAAATCAACATATCTATTGTTAATAACTAAAGTGTCCAAAGTTCTCTTTTTGGTCCGCTGCACAATGCACATCTACACCTTTGCCTTTCGCACGTGTGACAAAGCATCGTGTCTGAGGCATCTTAGGTGATCACGATCGCTGCAACGCTACCGCTTTTGTTAATAAAAAATCTTAAGCCACCACATATATATCAACTGTTAAAGATTTTTAGAATGAGAAAACAACGAGTTCTCACCTACATTATTTAGAAACATTAGAAAAACAATGTCCCCTCCACCTCCCTCTCCAATCACATGTGCATAACACTGTTACACTGCCAACCCATCTCTGGCTCGAGTTGTATGCTATTCATTCCTCTCCAATCTCCTCCCTATTTTCAGCATAATATTAACACATATTAATATAATTCGTACTAGGATAAGAGTAATAAGGGAGTTTTAAGGCCTTATTTTTTTTATTGATTCCATCTTTTGCATTTTCGTTTGCACGCTCCACGCTTTTCCAAGTTTATAAATGGTGCTTTTCTTAAACGACTTTTTAACTATTTAGAAGTTAATTCATTTGTTTATAATCTCAAATAGCTATCACATAAATCAGATAATTCATCAATTTCAGTTTTCCTAAACCCTAAGTAGTACATATTTTTTTCGTGCGAATCATGGTGATCAACGAATAATCAAAGTGGTAACATGAATCTTAAGAGCTACTATGAACAATTGCAAATATGTGTCAAAATTATTTGCTATTAATTAGACATCTAATGGTTTGCTAGCAACATATTTAATTTCTCTCTACATGTATATAAACATGGACAAAGCTAGAATGAATATTAACATATATCCCATACATATATATTACATGTTAATATTCTCATTACATGTGGTAAGTCCATTAAAATTTCAAATACCCTCAAGCTACCACTTGGTGCTCTAATAAATTAGAGAACATATTAGAAATTCTAAGAAAAAAAGCAAATTATCTATTACTTGATTTTCACTTAAATCGGTGGGTTCAATATTATAAACCATTAGATTAAATTGATCTTAGAAGAAACTAAATACTACAAGGTCCCACCTCTCCACCTTCGATACGCACCTACGTACGCGTGGGTACCTATGCTTCCCCTCCCTTTTATCATTTTTCCCTTTCTTCTTTTCTTCATATATACGCTTCCCTCTCTTTCTTACTATATCATGCGCCTTCATGAGACGATTTAATCACAAGAATTTTGAGTATCTTGCTCTCACATTTTTAATTTGTAGCCATACTACAAGCAATATATAGTTTATTATTTACTCGAGAAAATAACATGTTTCAAAAGTCGTAAGTACTTAATCCATCTCCTACTTAAAAATTTGTGAATGGATTTTTAAGATACTTTAAGAAAAATAGAAACCTTAAATTATTATAAAATTACATTATCCGAACTTTAGTTTTCCCTTAATCTATGAGACAAAATCTTTAAACAAATAATAAAAATCTTACCTTTCAATAATATAAGTGCCCGCGCATACGCGCGGGCCACCTTCCTAGTTCATATTAATGTTAATGAATCTAGACATATATATCTAGCTAGATTCATTAACATCAATATGAATATGGGAAATGTTAGAATGACTTATATTGTGAAACGGAGGAAGTACTACTAAACTGCAGTCACAACGTTTGTGCTTAATTTTTTCTTCACATTGAACTAGATTACAATGCAAGTAGTTTTCTGCAAAACAGTATTTTTTCTTTCCATCTTGGCATCATGAAATGTTTAAACTAATTTGCCAGCCTATTTTATCTGCTTGAAGAATGAAAAAATGCTACCACTCGTGGTTGTATAAATTAAATATATAATTTAAACTGTAACGGTTTTCTTGCTAGATAGCAGAAACCAAACGCCCCCTCTGAACTCTGATATATCATACATCATCGTTTCACCACCCAAACAATGTTCTCACTTACGCATATATATCACCTATACATACGCACTAACTGAAATTTCAGGTCTGGGAACATGAAGTCGATGGCAGCACAGTCTACCAAGTCTGCGACGGCAGCGGCGAAGATCCAGACTGCTCCAGGTGATCATCTGATCTGACGACTGACTGATCGTCGCTCGTTCATCCTTTGGCATCTCAATCCAGCGCAGTGCTTCAGAATAATGGCTTAATTTGTTGTGCCTAGCTGTGCTGTACTAGTAGAGATCCTGAAGAACATTTTGCGTGTATATCCATTGATTCCAGGAGCGTGCTGGTGCTGTTCTGGAGCGCGTCAGACCACCTGACATACCTTGGAGTGGACATGGAGGCCGACGACTGGAGCACCTGCAGGATCGTCCTGGGCAGGAGCGCCGCCGAGACGCTCCTGCTGCAGCACGCACGGCAACTCGCCGGCGGCGACGACGAGAGCGGCGGCGTCAATGTCGTCGTCAGAGATCACGGTGTGCAGGTTGTTGGTTCGGAGATAGCAGTTGCGGCTAGGTAGCCGTACCGTATGTACTTGTGCAACTTGAAAGTGCGTTTTGTGAACACAACTCACTGATGGTATCTCTATATATATAGTTTTGGCTGTAAATTTTTAGATATTGCTTTCTTCTGTAATGCTGGTATAGATTAATTGATATTGAAGTACACAACAATTCAAGGCTAGTTGTTTCTCTTCTCTATCTCTGTCTCTATCTTTACTCTCTACTATTATAAAAATTGAAGATGTTTTTGCCACAATCTTTGGTACGTCTCTCCGCTGCCCCCGCTTCCGGTGCCTGCCATTGCCACCGTGGAATAGTGCCGAAGTGTAGCAAGAGGATTGTGGCCAAGCTCGCGCTCGCTGTGCTGAGTGATACAACCTCATGCACGCAGCTCTTTCCTTTGGATCACGCCATGGCCCTATCTTCACTCTTCTCTAGCTCCTCGTCTCAGGTGCAAGCCGGAGTGTAGTGGGACCCCCTAACCCACCCTCCCTCTTGTGATAGGAGTATTTTTCTTTCTTAGTAGCTTATCTTCCTTGTATTTGTTTTTTTTTCCTTGACCCCCTGTCAACGGTTTTCTGACCGTGTGCATTGTGTAATCAAACTCTGCTATCTTCTTCTAATATATTGACGTGCAATTTTTTTGCACATTCGCGAAAAAACATCGTTCCTTCGTATGATTCGGGTTCGGGCTTTCGTTCGCCTCCTTTGCCCCTTCGTCTAAGCGGGAGCGCGTTGTCTGATCTGAGTCTAAGGTGCAATCAGAGTGAGTCCAGAAAGGCCACCGTGGGAGGTCTCAGACAGATTGCAAATGATTGAAATGCTGATATCGGATAACGGTAGTCCATGGTGAACAAGTCCTTCTCAATCTTTCCAAACTGGAGGAATCACCTTGTCCTGCTCCTGGTTAGTTGGTCCATTTTCATCAGACGACACCAGCTGAAAGTTTTTCACAGAGGCAAGAGTAGCCCGTGGCCGTCCACGGAAGTTGAGGCACCATCATTGCAGTTGCTCATGCCACCTAGGAGATTTATTCTTCGGAACCAGCTTTTCTTCCTTCTGAGTAGATAATTGTAAAGTTGCACTATCTCTATACGAGGTGATTTTGATCTGAAGAATGAAATCGATGGGAAAGAGTCGAGGCCACTAAGAGGAAATTCAGTCTGTGTTGGAGCTTTTCCACCCTCTTGAACAGCTGATGCGGGGATGGAATCCATAATGCAGCTCATCCTTCTTGGACCTCTGCAATAAGCATGCATCGCAAAAATCACTGCAATTTTCTACAAAGTACTGTAGAAGCAGTTAAATCTAGCATGCAATGTCAATCAACAATGAAAAGGCTCAAGGAGTTGTGATGTTATCACCACTTTTTATAATTGGAGCCTTTTTTTTAGAAAATAGATTCAGCATGTCTAATTGATCGCATTAATCACCACTGTGATTTTTACACTATCGATGAATTCACATATTCAGATCTCAGGTGTTGATGACAATATTTACCAAAACTATCCATAGATTTACTCGGCATAACACAAGTGCTGATTCAATACCTTGCACCCAAAACATTCAGTTCGTAGGGAACATGTGAAACTGGGTAATTCCCGGCAGGAACTCTCGGGGATACTTGGTTCAGACCAACCACACGTGCAGACCAACATTTTGGGTCCATCTATATATATGGCGCCACAAATTTTAGTCCAAAACAGTCGGATTGGACTACATACTGATTACCGCCATTTCAAACACAAAGTTGACCATTAATGAGCCTTGGCAATATAACAAATAAGTAACTTTATTATAATACACAATATAAATTAAATTTACGATAGAAAACTAACAATCACAAAAGTTACACTTAAATAAATTTAAAATCACATACATAATTTTAATGTATTTTCACTGTAAGTTCCAAAATTACATATGTAATTTTAATGTATTTTCACTGTAAGTTCCAAAATAACATATTTAAGTGCCCTTAAAATTACATATGTAATTTTAATATATTTTCACTGCAAGTTTTAAAATTACATATGTAAGTCCCAAAATTACATATGTATTTAATATGTAATTACAATGTAAGTGGCATATAATTGCATAAATTATCACTATAGTGTAATTTTCATTAATTATGATTTACTTTGAGGACATAACGAATAGAATCTTTGTGCTCAGTTGGTCAAAAGCCTGGTGTTGTAAGCCTGTAACTCGTCGATCACGGGATCGACTCCCCGCCACCGCACCGCACCTTCATTTTTCTCGGAAAGCATTAGCACGAATCTTGATACAGATCCTAGGGTCTAAAAATCGACTATTTTTTTACAGAAATTGGCGTGCGAGTGAAACTGTCCCTCCCGCACACGTTTTCTTTTTTTTCTTTTTGCCTTTTTTTTGTGTTTTCTTCTTTTTTTTTTCATCTTTTTCGCATTTTTTTTGGCTCCCCCTCCTCTCATGCGTTTTCCCTTTTTTCCCTTTTTTCCCCATTTTTTTAATCGTTCGCACAAGTGTTTTCAAAATATTTGAGTTGAATGTTTTCAAATTTTAACTTTGAAAGTTTTTCAATCTGAAGAAAGTTTCAAATCTAGAGTTGAAAGTTTTAAAATCCGAGTTGAAAGTTTTCAAAATTTGTCTTACAAATTTAAATTTTGAGTTGAAAGTTTTTAAAATTTGACTTGAAATTTTAAATCTTGAGTCGAAAGTTTTCATATTTAACTTGAAAGTTTAAATTTCGAGTTGAATTTTTTTTAACAAAATGAGTTTAGAGTTTCAAATTTTGAGATGAAAGTTTTAAATTTTATGTATGGCTTTTAATTTTTCGATAGAAAGTTTTAAATTTTACGTGAAAGTTTCTTTCACATATATATAGATTTCTTTTCAATCTGTTAGTAAAAAAATCACCGAAAAAAGAAAAATATTCCCTTGATTGTTATCCTAAATTAACTCAGTTAGTTACAGGAGAAGAGAAAATGCACACTGGCGGCGCCCACGAGCTAGCTTTCTCAGACATTTTGAGACAACAGCTCCATCATATGGTGGATGGGCATCATAGATGGTAAACTTTGTACTATGAAAGTTTGACGTGTTAAAACAAAGGTGGTTAGCTGATTCTTTTAATTGTTATTGTAAGCCATATTTAGATCTGTAAGAAAAAAAAAGATACAACTAAAGATTAAGTTTGAGTAATACACTTGACATCCAAATACATACAGTTTTGTTCTAAGTTCAGATGCTAAATGCATAGCACTTTCAATTTCTTGTACCTTCCAAATTCTAACACTTAAAACAAAAAAGGAGGGGGAAAATGCCATGTGATGCTTTTATATGAAACAACCTACAGTACATCTAAAGGGCCTTCCTTATACATACTTTGTTCATAACACTCCTTACCGCTGCGATTTTCTCATTTTTTGCAAATGTTTTTGGCTCCTTGGAGAAATGGACGCGTGTTGGTCTACTTAGCAAAAAAAAAAAAAACTCCTTGGATTTGCATGAAATATCGCACAAATCCTTGAACCAACTGATACCCCTGTCATGTTTTATCCAGGAAACCCCTTGTCTTTCATAGAAATAGAGAAAATTCCGCTTTCAGGGGTTGGACTGTAAACATGGAAAGTATAAGGATTTTTCTGCAAAACATCCTTCCCCCACCCCCAATCCCCAAACTCTCCCTCGATCCCCTCCATCATTCCCTCGCCTCAGCGCCTCCACCCTCGCCCTCATCCTGCCGCCACCGCCGGCGCAGTACTGCCTCCGCCGCTGTACTCCTACCCCCGTCGTCGCTGTCGTCCTTCACCCCCATCGTCTCCGTCCCTCACAACCCTAAACCCGCCACCGCCGTCGCCATCGTCACCCCGTCGAAACCTTCGCTTCAAAACCATGTCGGCCACGACACGCGGCGAAGAGGCGTGTCCATCGACGACAAACCCGTCCTGCACCACCACCACCAAGTCCATGACGGACGAGCCGCCGACGGTGACAACAAACATCCATGACGGCAGCGACGGCAATGATCGATGAGACGGCACGGCTGAAGCGGAGGATCACGTGGGTGGCAGCGAGAGGGCGGGACTGGAGGCATGGATGCAGATCGAGTGCGGGAGAGGCTGCTCCTCCGGGTGGCACCGCGGCAAGCAGCACCTGGGCATCAACGATGACTCTTAGTTCGGCATCTGGGATGATGATCAGGAGCAAGAAGACGACGCGAAGACGAAGGAGGTTTGATAAAACGGATTTGCTAACCTCCTGCCGACAGAAATTGTATCCCCCAAATTTTACAGATTTTGGGCCACCGGATGAGCTTTGAGATTCATGCTCCAGGCCTTCTCCTCCAACTCCGGTGACCTCCTCTTCTTCTCCAGCGCCAGCGACACCCTATGAGTTAAGATCTTGGGGTGGGAGGGGGTGGGAGGGGGAGGGGAAGGGGAGGAGTTTGCCGGCTTAGAGGGATAGCCGGGGGAGGAGGCAGCCCAGCAGTGGGCGGCGGATCGGGCGGATGGCGAGGCGTCGGCGGCGGCGCCGGAGCCACGGTGCTGGAGGAGGGCGGTGGGCCGGCGTTGGTGGCGGGGGCATCTCGCCACCAACAACTCGCAGAGGAAGGAGGGGGGAGGCGGGAGGGGGAGGGGGAGGTCTCACCGGCGCCGTTGACGCCCTCCGGCCAGTCGGCGAGGCGGGCGGCGGCGTGGTGGGGCGGTGGCGGCGGGGGGATCGGGCGGATAATAGTGATGGGATGGGTGGCGGCTGAATACGCGCGACGTGAGGGAAAAGGGAGGAGAGCTAGGGTTAATGCCTCTTTATGAATCTTAAAGCACATCCAACGGTCTAAAATTTAAAAGATGGGAGGTGAGATTTTCTGTCCACAGATGTATTGGTAAAAAGTCGAAACTAATAGGAGTATGAATTATGATGCATGGTTTTGTTATCTGTCCAATTAAATGATCGAATCATGCTTGCTGCTGATCCATCAATGTGCCTGATGTTTTATATGCATCTCTGTAGGCTACTGCAATTTCTGATATGATGTTCAGAATCGTCTACTACCAATTGAATTTGCATGCAACCTATGCTACGTAGTTCAGTTGATTCTTTCTTCAGTGTCAAATTTATGCATGAAGTTCTATACTTCTGTTTATTATGAATTGCAATAAACCTGTCAGGAATTGTTGCTGCCATGTTGGTTTCTTTCTTGTTTGTAACTCAG